GTAATTGAAAAAAAAGAAAAGACAACGAAAAGGCAGTAGTCTGCAAGCCAGAAGGAGAGATCTCGCCAAGAACTGAATCTGCCAGTACCTTGATCTTGAACTTTCTAGCGTTCTGAACTCTGAGAAATAAATGGCTGTTGTTTAAGCCGCCCAGTCTATGTTGTGTTATAACAGCCTGAGCAGACGGAGACACTGGGCAATAATCATGTTTCATATGAGGAAAGTTCAAATTGGGTTGCAGGGAAGGGAGGCCCAGGAGGCTGCACCCTTAGTCAGTCACTTCAGGAATTTGATCGTTTCCCCAGGTTGGTCAGGAAAGGGTGGATGCAGAAGAAAGACTTTCCAAGATTCCTTGAGGGGAAAAGGAGGATAGTGTGGAGCATGCTATGAGCCTGGGCCCTTGGGGTAAGACTGACCAGGAAATTAATAGCAGACAGGAGGCACGGGATGCAGTGCAGCAGGTCAGGGGTGTGATGAGAGCCTGAATGCAGAGGCTGAGGTCCATGGTCCAGGTTTATTAGACAATAAGAACTATTGCAAGAAGTTTGGAGAGAAAAACTAGCAATCATTAAACAGAGTTCTGTGAAGGCAGTTTTGGCAGCAATACTAAGGCACTTCAGTAAGATGCTACTAAGGTCCCAGACCCCAAGAAGTGCAATAAAATAAAAGTATAATAGTCAAGGTAGAAAATAACAACTGGTTTTTAATAAAAGCAGAAGCAAGGCGACTGGAGATATGATGAAAACTGATATATATATATATATATATGCCTTGCAACTTCATGAGTGGTCGCTCTGCAAAAAAAGAAAATTTGGAAGGAGAGATAAATGGCTGTGGCATTTCAGTTGTGAAGGAATATTTAGCTCCAAATGTCTTCCACAATGACAGGACATAATATATGAAATTCAATGAAAGGCAATTTGGGAGGCATATATGAAATTCAATGGAAGGCAATCTGGTTCCTTCCTTAAAGTGGTTTTTTATTGGGGGTGGCATGGCTGGAAGGTATGGGGAACAGGAATTTTAGTAGTAAAGAGCATCTTTTGTGGACATATTTCGAATGGTTTAGAACACTAATATCAGGTAACTATGCAGAATATTTCACTACCATTTACAAAATACAGTTGCAACCCTGCCACTTTTCTAACATCTGACCCACACAGTTATTAGAACTTTTATCAGTCTATCTCAACATCCCAAGATTATCTTCACGGTTACATTCGTCTTTAAAGCCACACAATCCTTGGTGGTATCTGTCCCTTTTCTTTCTTTGTCCTTCTACTCTTCTCTCAACATGCATATTCACTATATATCAGCTTCTCTTTTTTTTTAAATTTTTTTATTGATTTTTTTACAGAGAGGAAGGGAAAGGGATAGAGAGTTAGAAACATTGATGAGAGAGAAACATCACTCAGCTGCCTCCTGCACAACTCCTACTGGGGATGTGCCCGCAACCAAGGTACATGCCCTTGTCCGGAACTGAACCTGGGATCTTTCAGTCCACAGGCCAATGCTCTATCCACTGAGCCAAACCAGTTAGGGCTATATCAGCTTCTCTTCCCAGAAGATCAACTAAAAGCCTAGTGGGATGAATTTATGCAGCACCATCCACATTTATAGATGTACCTATAAAATATTCTAGCAATCACAAAATAAATGCATAAGACAGTCTTTGGAAAATGATAATTCTTATAATACTTGCTAAAACCCTAAGTTCATGTGTGTATAGTTCTCAGGCTCCTCTGGTGCTCAGAGGCAGATCCTCATTTCCAAAGGAAATGATGCATTTCATTGATATCTCCTGGGTTGCCTATGTCTTTCTGTGAGTCTGTCTTTGATTTCATGCCAGAGAGCTGAAAAACTGCCACTTTTTCCCTGAACTCCTGCCCCCACACCTAATCTGTATTTCTCTTTAATACATTTTATTCTCCCTTCTAGATAAAAATGAGATATTTAAATACTCTCCTTATTAAAGAACACATCAACTTTTTGGAATCCTATATAATAAAAGGCTAACATGCAAATCGACTGAACAGTGGAACGACTGGTCAATATGATGCCCACTGATCACCAGGGGGCAGATGCTCAAAGCAGGAGCTGGCCCCTGGTGGCCAGTGCACTCCCACTGGGGGAGCGCCACTCAGCCAGAAGCCGGGCTCATGGCTGGTGAGTGCAGCGGTGGTGGCGGGAGCCTCTCCGCCTCCGTGGCAGTGCTAAGGATGTTCAACTGCTGGCTAGGCCTGCTCCCTGCAGGGAGCCAACCCAAGCCATCAGTCAGACATCCTCCGAGGGCTCCCAGACTGCAAGAGAACTCATGCCAGGCTGAGGGACCGCCCCCCCCCCAACCCCCTGAAGTGCACGAATTTCGTGCACCAGGCCTCTAGTTTATATATAAAACTCATAACCTATTAAATGCCTGGTGGTAACTTGTAATGGGTTTGTAGATTTGTTAGAAGTCTCCTCAATATTCCACCCCTTTCACCTACTCTCATGTTGTCAAGGTAGTTAAGAAGACACACTTAGGCATTCTGACTCTTTGGGTTGGATTCCCAGCTGTATTTCTCACCAGCTGGGTGGCTTGTCCAAGTGACTTAACCTCTTTATACCTCAGTTCTCTCATTTATTCAGTTAACGGCAATAGCATTTTGGCCCTCAAATGGAAACCATGAGGTCCTCTATTTGTTCAACCTGAACTTCCGCACACTATGATAAAAAGAGTTGATAGGTGCTCCCAAAGAAAAATATAGACTGAAACACAATTACTGTGGCAGAGAATGGAAGTATCTGAGCCTAATGAATATAAGGAAGATGGGCTCTGAGGCCCTAGATATGAAGAGTGCAATGCCTAGCTGGAGGATCCTCTATTATGAGGATCTGAAAGGCACTGGAGAGAGGAAGGCATTGGAGTAGAGGAGACCAGAGAGCAAGCAGAGAAAGAGTCCAAGTGGGCTCTTAAGTCAACAGGCTGCCCAGGAAGTGGAAATCAGGTGCTATTGCAATAGGCAGACAAACAGGAAGCTTAGGTTACCTTCGGAGAAGCTCAAGAGGCACTGGCCAGAGCTGAGCTGGCAAAATGGGATAGGTGAGAAGTTACTCAACTAACTGAGACAAGCCAAACAAGCATGATGGCTCATCCCAGCTGATTAACCATGAAGTCCCAGGGCATTGGACAAGAAAGTTGGTGATGAGAGAGGGAGAACAGTCTTTCCTGGAATAAGGGGACCAATCTATAGAGCCCTAGAATTTTCACTGAGTAGTCATCTTAGATATTCCTCACTTGGGTTACTTTGGGAATTTTAGAGAATTCTTATTTTTTTATATCCTTGGAAGAAATACCAAACAGATTGGATTTTAGTGGTGATTTTGTAAAAAAAAAATCTTTAAATTATGAAGAAATATAAAATCAGTTACATAATATTATGATTTCATATTAAATTCTGGGTGTTTTTATTCACAGATTTAGTAACTTTATTGTTTTATAAATATTAATTGCCTGTATCTACTATACATATTAATAACTTCTCAAGTTTTTAAATCATGAAATAATGGACATCAATAGTTGCAGAGCTTTTTACTCCATGATATGAACATGTAGACATTAATACTTTTCAGAGTATGTGTCCTGTCTAACAAAGCATATGCTTGTATCCACCTAAGTATTACTGTAAAATAGAAAACTACGCAAGTCAATTAATTCTGACATTGAAAATTCAAAAATATCTCTAAAATAATTCTTAAAACTTTTGACATAAGGGTCAAGAGAATCATCCATATGGTATAATATGTATACTTCTGTAAAATACAACTCAAATATAAAACATCACTTTTTCAACAACAAAGAGCTTATGTATTTATTGTACTGAAGCAAAATAGATGGTATGACATATTTCTATATTTACGACATAATAAAAATTACAACTCATCATGAAGATGTAAGTCCAAACTTGTATAACACATCCATTGTAAGTAATTCATAGATTTCAGTTAAATATTGATGGCAGTGTTTATGTAAAATTCAAATTAGTTGATAAAATTAGCTTTTATAAAATCAATAATCAAAACAGTCACATGTGCAGGATAAACACAACCAAATACACTCAGAAAAATACTACTTCTCTCTGTTTTCTCATACAATATGCTTACTTTGTGTGATAAACTAAAACAGATTTTTAAAAATTATACAACAATGCAGTCTGTATTAACTAGTGTTGATAAATATTAACTTTGGAGTTTTATGGTTTTAATAAATGGAAAAAGCAAGTTGATTTTAAAAACCTTGTTGAAATTAACATGACTTCTCAATAGAATTTTTTTATTAATCAGCATTTCTTCAAACTCACAGGAGTTTAACTAAGTATATGGGAATGCCTATTCACAAATTTTTCTTACTCGTGTGATGTAAAAGAGCAAGTTATATTGCTTATAAGTTAAGCCATATTCAAACTGAGCTTAGATATTTAAAAAATTAACTGATGAATGTATAAATATAAAAGCTGTCACAGTTTAATGTGCCCTACTATTTTATTAAAGGGACTTTTGAAGCAGGGGGTCCCGCGGGGGTGAGGCCGACGGAGTCCTAACGAAGCATGTCCGACTCCGGAGACCAGGTTCAGTGACGCAGATCCAAGTTTATTGTGCAAGTGCAGCAGTATATATAACATTTTGGACCAATCAGAAGTTTACAACATCCATAGGGCAACCAATAGTAGGAAAGATCAGGGTACTATGTAGGGGCTCTAGGGGGTCTGCTCAGGCGGGCGGCAATACTTCCCGGTGTGCCCAGGAAGCTTGTATAGGCGGAGTGTGCTCACGCCATTGCATCTGCCACAGCACTGAGATAAATCTCCTGAGCTCTTCCTACAGACTTTGCTTGATTTATCTGTAAATATTAACTTAATAGGAGGTTCTCTTACATTGACCGCCTAAAGGTCGCGCTGTAAGAAGCAACAACCTCTCCTCTTCCTCTTTGCCATCTACTTGGTAGCCTCAAAGCAGCAACCATGCGTGAGAGCATCTCCATCCATGTTGGCCAGGCTGGTGTCCAGATCGGCAATGCCTGCTGGGAGCTCTACTGCCTGGAACACGGCATCCAGCCTGATGGCCAGATGCCAAGTGACAAGACCATTGGCGGGGAGATGACTCCTTCAACACCTGCTGTAGTTGAGCCCTACAACTCCATCTTCACCACCCATGCCACCCTGGAGCACTCTGACTGTGTTTTCATGGTTGACAATGAGGCTATCTACGACATCTGTCTTAGAAATCTCAATATTGAGCACCCAACCTACACCAACCTTAACCGCCTTATTAGCCAGATTGTGTCCTCCATCACTGCTTCTCTCAGGTTTGATGGAGCCCTGAATGTCGATCTGATTGAATTCCAAACCAACCTGGTGCCCTACCCACGCATCCACTTCCCTCTGGCTACATATGCCCCTGTCATCTCTGCTGAGAAAGCCTACCATGAACAGCTAACTGTAGCAGAGCTCACCCATGCGTGTTTTGAGCCAGCTAACCAGATGTTGAAATGTAACCCTCGCTATGGTAAATACATGGCTTGCTGCCTATTTTACCGTGGTGACGTGGTCCCCAAAGATATCAATGCTGCCATTGCCACCATCAAGACCAAACGTACCATCCAGTTTGTGGACTGGTGCCCCACTGGCTTCAAAGTTGGCATTAATTACCAGCCTCCCACTGTGGTACCTGGTGGAGACCTGGCCAGAGTACAGCGAGCTGTGTGCATGCTGAGCAACACCATAGCTATTGCTGAGGCCTGGGCTCGCCTGGACCACAAGTTTGACTTGATGAATGCCAAGTGTGCCTTTGTCCACTGGTATGCAGGTGAGGGCATGGAGGAAGGAGAGTTTTATGAGGCCCGTGAGGACATGACTGCCCTTGAGAAGGATTATGAGGAAGTTGGTGTGGATTCTGTTGAAGGAGAGGGTGAGGAAGAAGGAGAGGAATACTAAATTTAAAATGTCACAAGGTGCTGCTTTTAACAGGGAAATTATTGTTGTTTTTAAAAAAATTTTGTTTTATTGCTTAAAGCATTACAAAGAGTAGTACATATGTCTCTTTTTCCCCCCCTCTTGACCTTCCCCCGGCCTCCCCTACCTCCCAGTGTCTTGTGTCCATTGGTTATGCTTATATGCGTGCATACAAGTTCTTCGGTCGATCTCTTACCCGCCCTCCAACCCTCCCTGCTTTCCCGCTGTAGTTTGACAGTCTGCTTAATGCTGCTCTGCCTCTGTATCTATTTTTGTTCATCAGTTTATAATGGTCTACAACTACACAATGGAATACTATGCTGCTGTAAAAAAGAAGAAATTTTTACCATTTGCAACAGCATGGATGGAACTGGAGAGCATTATGCTAAGTGAAATAAGCCAGTAAATGAAAGAAAAATACCACATGATCTCACTCATTTGTGTTTTAAACATTGAAAAGTTCTGGTCTGATCAGTTAATTTGTTGTGTAGAGCAGTGTACACTCTCATATACAATTACTGGCCTATGCTTTAAAATACAATGCTTTGTTACAGATCCAAACTGTCAGTTTCTCTGATGGGTTTTAATAGAGTATTCCCTGTCTTAAATGAAAAAAAAGTTTAACTTAATGGGGTTTGTGAACACCTTCGCCCTCATTTTCCTCAATTCTAAAACCAGGAGGATGTTAGAGGGGCCTCCAAGTCTCACCAACTTTAATTCTGGTCTGTGATTATGCTGAATGTTCTTTCTTAATTTGGTACTCAATTTTAATGCATTTATCTGAAATATTATCCCTATTTTTATAGTGAATTTTTAGCTGCCTTTGTATTTGCGCTGTAGCAAACCTTTGTTTCACATTTTTAGAATCTAATTTTGAGTCATGTACACTCAGATAAGTATCTGAATTCTTTTGTTTTAGACATTTAAAATGAACATACTATGATCATTTTTCTCATATAATTGAATCTTATTAAACTAAGATAAATTGCACCTTATTCCCACCATTTCTCAGTTAGATATATTACAGCAAGTGGGATGTTTTCACCAATTCTATTATGCTGATAATAATAATAATCATCATCACATTAATTGTATCATTTAAATGTGATCTCATTTTTAAGATGGAGTCATCTATATATCTTTTCTTGGTTGGCAAGTAGGCAAATCTTCATTATGTCTTCCCCAATATTTTACTCTGAAGCAATTCCTATTCAGCATTGGAAATAAATGCATTTTAGCCACCCCTGGATAATACCATATAGTATATTTCTGAATTTCTTAGGTCAAGGAAATATTTGTACTGACTTCTGTCTTTCATATACGAGGCTGATTTTAGGAGAATTTTCTACCTAACTATTTCTGAATGCACTCCTTAGTCTGGTTTCCTTTTCCACTGAGAGAAACTATCTTGTGAAGAGATTCCTCTTTTATTTCTCTGTTATTACTAAGACAATGGTAGTGGAAGGACAATGGTAATCGAGAGATAAAATACTCACTACTCTTTTGCTCTCACAGAAGATAACCGACTTCCTCTTAGTCACCAAATTCAGCATCTCTTCTCAGGTTCCATATTTATTTGTAACAATAAAATTCCTGTCTGCCCTTTTATTTCTGACACTTTCTCCCTCTGTGACTTCCTCGACACTCACTCCAAGGTATTCATTTCATTTTTGTGCTGTTCCTTCTTTGTGTGTCCTTGCTCTGTACATGAGGGTATCCCTTAAGGTTCTGTCCTTAGGCCTTTCTCACTTGGTCATTAATTCCAAGACTTTGATTATCTTCTGCACGTGAATGATCTCTCCACTGAAAACCTCTCTCATGGGTTCTGGTGTTGAATGTCCTGCCAGCACTTTGACCCTTAATGTGACCCTGGTAAAATTCGTCATCTCCCATGTCAAGCCAGCTCTTCCTTTTGGGCTGCCTGGTTCTGCTAATGATACCATCGTCTGTCCTAAGAGGCTCAGAATGAGTCAGATCAATTTTAGCTTCTAAGTGCCTCTTGCACTGGTCTCATCCTTTCTATGCTCATTGCCAGACGGATCAGCTCTCCTCCCCATTGTATCATCACTGGAAATTTACCAATGCATTTTAATGATTCATCCTCCGGAAGCTCAACTCTGACTATGCTCTAATGCAGTGATTCTCAACCTTCCTAATGCCGCGATCCTTTAATACTGTTGTGGTGACTCCCAACCATAAAATTATTTTCGTTGCTACTTCATAACTGTAATTGTGCTACTGTTATGAATCGTAATGTAAATATCTGATATGCAGGATGTATTTTCATTGTTACAAATTGAACATAATTGAAGCATAGTGATTAATCACAAAAACAATATGTAATTATATATGTGTTTTCCGATGGTCTTAGGCGACCTCTATGAAAGGGTCATTCGACCCCCAAAGGGTTCGCGACCCACAGGTTGAGAACCGCTACTGTAATGCCTTCTATGGGTCCTCACTGCTTGTAGAATCAAGTCCAAGTTTCTGGTCCTAACTTTCAAGGTCTGGAGCAGATCTATTTTCAACCTCATTTCTCACCACAACCCTCCAGGCAAACAATTACTCCTGTTTCCTAAATCTTCTAACCTCACTGTCTTTGCTCATATCCTCTCTGCCCATAAAGCCACATATCCTGCACATCATTGAAGACTTGACTAGAATATTTGCCCATCCATGTTTTTCCCTCATCTCTCTATAGAATTTTACATCACTCTTAGGGCATTTATAAAAATTTGTGTTTAATCGTTTGCTGTATTTTATCATTTTGCTGTGTTCTGGGGGTAAAAAGTGAGCAATTCATAATTCCTATCTGCTAGGTATGTGTTAGATTCTGGGATGTAAAGTTCCCAGGCCCGTGTCATATGCTACCTACCTGACTCTATAAGAACCTTGTGAGTAAAATACATGTCTGATTCTTTTTCTGTGTCTTCTAAACACCAAGCACTGGAATTCCATACACACATAATTTAAAATGAATTACCAAAAACTGAATCCCAAACTTCCTCACCAAGGTCCACTCCTTCAACCCTTTCCATGCGCTCTTCTGCTTGATATTTGGTCTTTGTCTTCTGAATTCAGCTGACAAAATTCTATGTAAAAATTCATGCAAAATTATACCAAATTTTTTTCTGCTTAAAACTCTAAACAAGGGTTCTATTTTGATTGGAAAGAAATGCATACAGAAACAGACAAGGAAGAGTTACTCTGTATTGTCACTGTGACCTGGATTGGTAGTATCCTCAGGACCTTTTTCAATTAACAAGATGAAAAAAGGAAAGACTGGGACTATATATTTCCATGCTTAGGTGTTCCACATGGGTAAACCTCTGGATTTAAATTTTAAAATTAACTTACTGCACAGAATTTGATAAGGAAACAAAGACTCTTGCAAATACTATTGGTGGAAGACAGCCATACAGAAACTAAAGAGTTCAATTAGCATGAACCTTGGAGGTGCAACAGACAATATAATGCTAAAATACTTAACTCCCAGTGCCAGCTGTTGCTCTTTACAGGAGCAAGCCAGACTATTTTATATTAGGTAAGTAAGCTAGGAGGTTGGTAATCTTCTTATAACCTCTATTCTACAGGTGAAGGAACAGGAGCAAGGGCAGCTCGAGTCATCTCACTAAGGAGGCACAATTAGTAAGGATGTGAGGCCAGGCAGCCTGCGTGGAGGCTGAGAAGTGAACTGCTGCATTACTCTGCAGCCAAAGGGTACAATGAAACACAGCTAATTCACCCTATCCACAGAGGGCCCACGTTCCCTACAGGTACACTCTTTCTAGGGGTGGTGATGGCTCTGCCATTCTCCACTGGGCACCGGGCCCTTTTCTGTCCTTTTGCTGTACTTTCTTCTTTTGTACACACCTTCCATTCTGCTCCTCCCCCTGAAGTGTTGTGTCTCAATGGCCTTGGGGTGTGCTGCTTTGTGCTCTTGTTCTGGCAGCCACCCGGCCTGCTCTCTTCCTGCTCTCTTCCTGCCTGGCCCCTTAGGCTCTGGGTGATGGTGCCATGAATCAGGGCTCAATACAGTCAGCAAGCCCTAGTGACTGCTAAATGCCTGGTCCAAGGGGTACAATAAGGTAATTTACATGAAAGCCTTTACTTTAAATGGTGGTACATGAGTTGGGTGTGAGATAAGGTAATGTCTGTTAATTGTGGGAAGTAGAGAAAGAGGCTTATTTAGATAGAGTTATTTCTCTCTGACCGTGTCTTATGCTAATGAACCACTGAATAATCTTGTAAATTCATATCACTGCTACTCTGCAATAAGTGAAGTAGGCTTCAAAAATAACTTTCCCCAGTTGGCTCACATATTCTCAGGGTGAAACCTTCATGCTGGGAGAATCCTGGAAACAAGCCCCTAAAAAGAAGGCTATTTAAAAAGTTTTGTTTGGTTTAAATATATTTCTCAGACTGTTCACTTTAGTCATAGGTAGCTATTAAAAACCAAATACAATGAACTGCAAAAATCAAGTAGATGAAACACCACAGTTTCTCACTGGTGAATAAGTAGCATCTCTAGGAAAGAAATAAAAATCCAAAAATGAAACAATGCTTAATTTCACCCAGAAAGCAATCACATTTAGAATGCATCCAAAACAATGAACACTATATTGTAACACTATCTTATAAATAAATTCTCCCTAGATTATAAATCCCATTTGGAAATGTGCACTGTAGTCCATTTAAATTTTTAAAAATGCCCCTCCTTTGACTCAGTAATTCTCATGACAGTAGGTACTGGGGTAAACTGGCTTGCTGCTTATTTTTATAAATTTCTCTCACTTGTTCCTAAAACCTTTGCAATGTCCCCTTACAGTAAGAAATGAAGCTTGGGCACACTTAATGTGCTGCTCACTGTGCCTCCTCAACAGATCTCACTGTTGAAGCCAGTCCACTCAGCTTAGCTCCATTCTATGCAACGCTAATGAGCCTCCCCACCTCCATTCCTGTCCAGCAGCGATATTCTTTATACAAAGTGGCT